GATACCCACGGCAGACTACATGGGCTGTACCCCCAGGGGTGGTCTAGCCCACAAGACGAAGCCTTGCGGAGCACGGCGCTGCTCGGCGCGCCCCGTAAGACACCGGGGAGATATCCTGAAGATACTACGAGATCTGTTAGGATACGATTGATCCCATGATTCATGTAATCTGTTATTACTTTCCGGTTATCTCATAGATTTAACCGACTCATAACCCTACCCCCAGACTATATAAGGCGGGCAGGGACCCCTCAAAACACATAAAATATCACACGATAGCCAATACAAACCAACATACCACAGGAGTAGGGTATTACGTCGTACTGACGGCTCGAACCTGTCTAACTCTTGTGTCTCTGTTGCCTTCTTGTTCTTGATTACGCACACACCTCTACGATAAATCTACCTTCGTGGGATACCCCTCGGAAAACTGTCGAACATCTTTTGTCGACAGTTGGCGCGCCAGGTAGGGGTGCGCGCTTGATCCCCTGACGAACCAGATGGCGTACCTCAAGATCAACAACCTTCACGGTAACTCGACTGATCGCGTCGACGTCCTTCGACAACCACGGTGCATCTCCAAGCAGCACGCGTCGCGCTGCTATTCTGCAGCGACTGAACCAATCGGCTACCGGCGGCCCAACAGATGGCAAGCTCAAATCGGCAGAGGAATCTAGACGAGGTCACGCCGCTCAAGCCGTTCGCATATCGCCAGTTTGGTATTCGATGAAGGTCACTTCCCTGCACGACGTCAAGCTAGCCTCCTACTCCGCCTATGGGAATTTCACGACGCAATGGAGCCGGCTGTCGGCGGAGCTAGCGGTGTGCGTGGGCCTGCACCACGCCGAGGCCGGTGCCGACTCCTAGGCTTCATCTACACGCCAAGCCACATCCACACGGGATTACGGGAGTCCTACTCCGACCCAATCAAACATGCACATGAGTCCTACAATTGGATCGGACATGCATAATGATTGGTTGCCACCACATGCAAGCTAAGATACTAAGGCTCTCTTTAGATTTTAAAAATTTTCACCCCAAAGTGTCATATCGAATCTTGCGGCAGATACATGGAGTACTAAATATAAACAAAAAAAAACTAATTACACAGTTGGGTGAGAAATCGCGAGATGAAACTTTTAAACATAATTAGTCCATAATTAGACACTATTTACTAAATACAAACGAAAGTGCTATCGTAGCCAAAACCAAAAAATTTCGCCATCTAAACATGCCTATGGCTTCACGTGTTTATGCATGCAAAGCATCTACGTGGGGGACATTTTGCCTCGGTATGTACGGTTGTCATCAATGCAAGGACAACATGTCTGCTTGCGCATCACTACATCCGATCTACAAGCCGTGAGCCAGACTCGACAGCGAGACGCTCGAGCTACCAAAGCCGTCAAGCGAGCCGATAAGTGAGCTGTCCACGTCCTCGATCCTTAACATAAGGACGACGTCGTCTGAACTATTTACTCCGACCACCTGTCGCGTCGCAATGATAATCGCCGCGAAGAACGACATCGTGACAACCACGACCGCCGCCATGATGACAGTTCGAAAAGCTCGAGGGCCGGGCAATTTCTTCAACGCCGACCAGATAACTCCATACGCTGCTGACCAGATGTTCTGTCTAAAGCTAAGTCACGCTTTAATATTCTTCTAAATATTCTCCAATCCTCGTATATCGCCATGATGTTTCTCCGAGCTGTTTTCTCTATGTTTGTTCTCCAAACGATTTTTCTTTCATGTATACCATCTTAAAGATGATATACAGCTAAGTCTAAGGCAAATCCCCGAACAGTCATGTTGACGCTCGGATGTCTCCAGAGACGGCCCTGTCTCCGGCTCCTCCCTACACGTGCATGAGCGTCTGCCCTCTGCGTTATGGGTGGTCGGCAGCGGCTCCTTAGCAACGCTTTGTTCTTCCTACACACACGACCTCCACGCTCCGCGTCATGGTTAACGGGCTAGCTAGGGCTGGAGACTCAGCTACAAACTAACTGGTTAGATGGTTTGTATTAAATATAAACATATCTCCAAAAGAACACTTAGTGTTCACACCAACTGATCGCCTAGCTGCATACGCTATTTCATCACAGTTGCTGATTCTTCTCCGGAGTTCATATATTCTATTTTTACATCATGTACTACACATTCTACATATTTATTTCGCAGGAGCACGGCTCGGACAACGAGCTTACGCTCAGGGACTGGACAAGATGATCATCGTTTGGTTGGTCGGACCACCTATCGGATGGACTTCACCGCCAACCAACTGGTCGGACTGCTCGGCACTCACTCCTGCTCGGTGTTCACTTCGCCGCCGACCAGTTGGTTGGACTGCTCATCGCATGGGCTTCATCGCCAGTTACGCTGGGGACTCCTCGGTGTTCGGTTTCTTCGTGTAAGCACGCTAGCTACGCTGGGGACTCTTCGGTGCTCGAATTCTTCGTACAAGCATCGCCAGCTACGCTGGGGACTCCTCGGTGCTCGGATTCTTCGTACAAGCATCGCGAGCTACGCCGGGGACTCCTCGGTGCTCGAATTCTTCGTGCAAACGTCACCAGCTAAGCCGGGGACTCCTCGGTGCTCGAATTCTTCGTGCAAGCGTCACCAGCTAAGCTGGGGACTCCTCGGTGTTCAGATTCTTCGTGCAAGCGTCGCCAACTAAGCCCTCGGTGGTCGGATCTTGCAACGTCTCATCGGTGTGCTATCAAGCTGTTCCATGCTGTTCGGATCAGGGTGCTGATCTTGGACAGCAAGTCTAGAGCCTTGATACGCGTATATCAGATGACGTCGATAAGCTTTCAGACTTCTTTTCTTTGACCCTGCTACAAGATTCATTCTTCATCTTCCAGCAGACTCGGGGACTAAGTGGATACACTTCACCTGGCGATGAATGTAGTGCTTATTTCTTGATTTACCCTCCTTATTGACGGGTTTTAAGTGGCTACACTTCTCCTAAGTGGAAGAATTTTTAAATTTCATCTTAAGCCCCTTACATCCTTCTGGCAAGCCTTACTCGGCTAAGTCCGAGGTCTCCTAATCAGTTAAACTGGTCGGCTTTAATTTTCACCGTCCAGGTCACCAGTTAAACTGGTCGGTTTTGATTTTCACCGTCCAAGTCACCAGTTAAACTGGTCGGTTTTGACTTCCACTGCTCGGATAACCGGTTAAGCTGATCGGCTTCACGTTAAAGTGCTTGGACTTGTTCAAGACAGCGTTGCTCAAAGAATACAAGGCGCTCGGGGACTAGCTGTGCGGGTACGACCCCGGATACCCACGACAGACTACATGGGCTGCGCCTCCAGGGGTGGTCCAGCCTACAAGACGAAGTCTTGCGGAGCACGGCGTTGCTCGGCGCGCCCCGCAAAACATCGGGAAGATATTCTGAAGATACTACGAGATCTGTTAGGATACGATTGATCGCATGATTCATGTAATCTGTTATTACTTTCCGGTTATCTCCTAATCTAACCGACTCGTAACCCTGCCCCCCAGACTATATAAGGCGGGCAGGGACCCCGTCAAAACACACGCAATGCGCGTTCGCTTCGCTGAAAAAAAGCCGAACACTGTTCTAGTTGATTTGTTGTGAGAGAAAAACATTGTTCCCGCTGAAAAAAAAACAAGCTGAAAAAGACGGATTATAAGAGAAGCGAACATGGCCAATATCACACGATAGCCAATACAAACCAACAGACCACAGGAGTAGGGTATTATGTCATGCTGACGACCCGAACCTGTCTAACTCTTGTGTCTCTGTTGCCTTCTTGTTCTTGACTACGCGCACCTCTATAACACATCTACCTTCATAGGATACCCCTCGAATGACTGTTGAGTATCTTTTGTCGACACTATTGCTTCAGTGCTACTCCCTCCGTTCTAAATTATAATTCACTTTGACTTTTTTTTGGTACGTCTATTTTATTATGCATCTAGATATAATAATATGTCTAAATACATAACAAAATGGATGAACCAAAGAAATCAAAACAACTTATAATTTGGAAGGGGGAGATTTTGCATTATCTACAAACATGCTTTGTTCATTTCGGCTGCCAGGCAAACTGGACCTGGGCCCCTGAGCGTCCCGGCACACCGGCCTGCCAGGATCAAAGGGTAGCATTTTTTTTTTCTTTTCCTCTAGGAAAAAAGTTAATTTATCTTCTGAGATTAGCTTTATTCCAAGATCTTAGTTTAACATGACTCCCGAATATCTACAATTTTACATCTCAGTTCTATCTTCCAAGATCTAAACCTTGAGTAAAAAATCATAGCAGTGAGCAACGGTTTATGTTAGGAGTTGGAATTGAGATTGATAGTATGCATCCAACTATGCCATTGACCTGAAAATATTGTTGAAGGTCACGGTTCTGACTTCTGAATGTTGAAGCTGTTGAGAAGGGCACTAGTACCTATGCCTGCATTACATATCAATTTTAAAATTGTCTGTGAAGCAACGATGCTCCATATATTTCTGCAAGCACAAAGTTAGTATTACCTCGAGAAATATTTTACCCATAAACTGATGTAGTTTTTTTTTACTTATATTCCTATGCTGCTTAAGTCTTTTAGGAGTGTTCCAGCTAATTCGATAAGATCATGTATACTTATTTTTTGAAACGGTCAACCATAGTTGATATCAAATGCTACACTGGCCAAATCTACCCGCTTCTAGTGTTATAACTATTAAAAGGTCACCTTCATTGGTCTTTCCTATATTTAAATCTGATATTCCCAAATTGCAACAGGGAAATACTATATATATATATATATATATATATATATATATATATATATATATATATATATATATATATATATATATATATATATATATATATATATATAATTTGGACGCAAGAAGCAAGTGAATTTGTAGCAACAACGCCCTCGGGGAGAACGAACGCAAGTCTATGACCTCATCACAGGGACAGGAGGCATACATAGGTCATATGTGAGCACTGAGCACCGCTGGTGTCGGATCCTCCTCATGCCTTCCACCACGGGTCCTCGCCGGTCCTGAAGTCGGTCTCCACCCACGGGACGAAGAGGACCTTGCCGTCGTCGACGTCGGCGTGAACCAGGGCCAGCGACTGTTTACAGAAGAGCAGTGCGAAGAAGCAGATCAGTTGAAAGCGCAACAAAATCAGTTGCAGACTTGCAGTTAGAAGAAATGGGTGCGTTTGTTTTTACCAGAGGCGCCGGTCCACGGACCACCTTGCCCTGGTTGTTGTACTGGGATCCGTGGCAGGGGCAGATGAACTTGTTCTCGGCGCTATTCCACGGCACGACGCAGCCGAGGTGAGTGCACACGGCGTTGATCCCGTACGTGGCCAGCGTCTTGTCCTGCTCCACCACCAGGTACGTGGGGTCACCCTGCACGCGCGGCGGTGCACACAAACACGCGGCGGCCGTGAGCATCAACACAACACAGCAGGCATGCCTGCCTGCAGCTGCAGGTGATGACGATGGCGATGGATGACTGACCTTGAGCCCCTGCGCGAGCGTGCGGTCGTTGGGACCGTGCGTCTTGAGCCACTCATCCACCGTGATGTCGTTGCCCAGCTTGTCCTTGGCGTAGGTCCCGCCGCCGGCGCCGCCGGAGCTGCGTGCAAAATCAATGGGCCGGGGTACTATTCGTTAGTTGCTGGCCGGCTAGCCGTAGCTGTTGATGCATGGCAACGCGAGACGATCGACGACTCACCCGGCGGGGACGAAGAAGGCGCCGTAGGGGACGACCATGCCGACGGTGGGCAGCGAGATGGCGCCCAGGAGGAGGAGGTTCATCAGCTTCCGCTTCTCCATGTCGGGGACGCGGTCGGCGGGGATGCTGCTCGCCGCCTGGCACGTGATGCTTTGGGCGCGCTCCCGGCCCATCCCCAGGCCAAGCCCCTTCACTGGCTTGCCCAGCGTACCGCGGGACCGGCAGAGCTGCCATTGCAGGCGCGGACATCATATATATGCAAAGAAACCATATTGTGCGATTCAGATGCAACTTTGGTGGGCAAGATTGAACGCGCTGGTGAAGACTAATAACGCCGTGGACGTACAGAGACTCTGTTTCTCCTCGGCCAAAACTCAAGAGACAAGGGTGAAGGCCAGGGAGGGAGGCGCCCCACGGCACAAGAAGGAAGAAGATGAGGAAGTTGCTGGCTCACCTGGGTGGGGTTGGCGGCGGTGGAGAGCGCCGCGGAGGTCGCCATGGCTGCAGCAGGTGAGGATTGCTCAGGGTCGGGGCAAGACGGCTGGTGTTCACTCCCTGGCGTCCACAGGCTTGCGGATGAGCCCCCGGGGCCTAGCTATATCTTTGCCCCGGGTGATTGGTTGATGCACAGCGACCGGCCTGCGAGCACCACATGTTCGAGACGGGCCAGGGGCGCCTGGTTCTGCGCGGAAGCGACGATGGGGCGCTCGTTTGCCCGGTCGCCTATTTGGACTGCCGTCCAGGTCCACATCGTCCAACCGTCGGATGAGAAACAGCTGGCTGAGAGAGAACGAAGGAGTAAAATTGTAACTGACACGTACAGGGGCCTGCGCGGGGTGAAGGAACTAGGCACTGACTCACTGAGAGCCTGAGACGAGGGCCTGGGCATTGAGAGCCAGAGACGAGAGGGCCATGGCGACGGCTGCCGGTTCGATGGGACCACCGAGCAGCAGCCGGCCTCACCGATCCTGCCCAAGCCCCAGACCCAGCCGCCGCCGCCGCAGTACAAGCAGGCCCTACCGTAGTAGAAGCCGAAGCCGGCGGCGGGGCGCATGCTCGGGCGGCCCATGGAGGACCGGCGCACGACCTACACCGTCGGCCACAAGCTGGGGCCGGGCCAGTTCGGGGTCACCTTCCTCGACACGCACCGGGAGACCGGGCAGTGCTTCGCCTGCAAGTCCATCGCCACGTGGAAGCTCGTCCACCGCGACGACATCGAGGACGTGCGCCGGGAGAGCGCCACTGCCGCGCTCTTCCGCGAGATCGTCGCCGTCGTCCAGAGTTGTCACTCCATGGTGGGTCTTCCACCGGGATCTGAAGCCTGAGAACTTCCTGCTCCTCATTAACAAGGAGGACTCTCCGCTCAAGGCCGCCGACTTTGGCCTCAACGATCACCAAGGTCCGAGCCACTTAGAGCAGAAAAAAAAAGACGTGACACTTCTCAGCATGGTCCACGCGACCTAGAGCACGTGAGCCAGTAACTTCCATGGCTTAGAGAATCGAGATTGGCATCACCTAGCTGCTTGGTGCCTGATGCAGCTTTTGACGTTCTGCTGTAATCCAAGCTGCAAACGTACACATAGAGAATGCTCTTTCAGTCTTTTGTCACCGATATACTTGACGTGGTATTTGGAAAACCTCCGTTGGATGCCATCCCCTTCGGAACAGATCCGATCTGGCACCCTCGAAACAAATGTGTCCATGTGTACTGTGTGTACACGATTGATCATCTGCGAAGCAACCGATTAAGCTAAGCTGCTCATTAATTGATATTGGTATTTTTGCTTTTGTACGTTAGCTGGATGCAGCCATATTACAGGTGAGTAGTTGCATTCTGCCAGTGCCGGCTTTAGAACAAAATGAAGACCAAACTGGCAAAAACTTTGTGGGTTATCGAGTTGTTAGGCAGACAGACAGCGCAAGGAACTACGGCGATATTCGCCCAACATCTGTGTAAGCTCTTCAATCTTCAGCAGGCAACACTATAGAAGGCCAGACCATCTACATGCCGTGAACAAAGGGCATAAATACAACTTTTACGATGCACAGATCAAATTGTACACAGATGGCGAGCTAACCTGTGAATTCACTAACTTAGCTAATATGTACAGGAGCAGAAAATGGCTACAAATTTGCCTTCCCCTCCTTTGAGGGGCTCCAACTAGACAGAGTTCAGGCTCCTAGCAGTTCTCTGTGGACAAGTAGCTCTAGCCTCTAGCTACTGACTAGTGTCCAAGCTCCACATGAATTTGTTACCTCAGAAATCAGAATCATCTCAAAGAACCCGTGGTAACGTTGCTTCGTGCACAATCATGCTGGAACTTCTGGGCCGTCCTTACTTGTACATTGGATGAATTCAACATTATTCCAAGTACAATGGTGTTGTGCTTGCGCATGGCTGGCAAATTGAACTGTTTCTGATTGTTAATAACTCCTTGGATGAATTCAACACTGTCCACTGCCCCAGCGATCATTGTGGACTTCAGGTATCAAGAGCTGCCAACAGAAAATTTGTGGACTTGAAGGAATCAACCGCCAACACCTTCAACTGGAATCCTGACATTTTCATAACCTTTCAGCGTCTCCACACTAAAAGATTCCAGTGCTTCAAATATCGGAGCCAGACCTGCTTTCAGATCAGCTGCACTGGCCTTCCGAATCTGTTTCACAGTTTCCTCGTGCTGAGCTCTTTGTTCATCCAATCTCTTGTGCAATGTATCCAATGCAACCATGCGGTTATCAACTGCCCTGCCATTGTCGGCAATGGGCAACACTGGCTTATCAGCTTCAAAATGCCCTTGCAAGCCATGTTCCATCTGAAGAGATTTGAGCCGCTTTGCAAAATCTCTAGAGAGGTACTCAGCTTTCAGCTTCTGCTGCTGCTCTTCGTCCTGCCGCTCCCATAACATATGCACGTTGACAGCAAAAGCCTCCATTGTATCTACGACGCTGCCTTCTGGTATCCTTTTCATGGCTTGACACCAATCATTAGCTGTAATGAACACAGCAGGAGCTCCAAGCCTACCAGGAGAGAAGGGTGCAATGCCATCCGGAGTCTCCTCCTTTTCCTGAGGAAGCCATTTGACTAGCCAGCCATTGAGGGTTTCGATATAAGCTTTTTGGGATAGGATCCAATTCCTGAAACAAGAACACCAGTTCAAAAGTTCCATTTCTAGTTCCAGTGTAACCTTGGAGGAGCTTCTTTCAGGTCCATTCTTAGGGATGAGAATATGAGATTTAGTTTGAAGTATGGTATGGAATTGCTTCCGATGGCATTCAAGAATGAATTTCCACATTCTAACAAGCCTGCACAAAAATCACAACTATCTTTTATTATAATTCAAAAAAAAAGAACATCGCTACTACTAAAACTAGCTGATCTTAGCAAATGTGGCAACAACTCATGCAACAATATATATATATATATATATATATATATATATATATATATAATCAGCATGCTGTAGTAATACAGCAACATAAGACGTGCTACTCTAGTTTACATGAAGTATTTAGACATCTTAGAAAACAAGTTCAATAAAATGGACCAAATGGTATATAGATTTTTTTAGTCACAACAGGTCCATACTTTTAGTGATTGTCCATCAAAGAATTGCATCTTTATTTTTCATTTGTTACACAATTGATGAAACATGTTAACTGAACAACTGCATATTTTTTTAAACAAACAAAACTTTATCTAATACTAGAATCATCAGTTCAAAAATAATATAAAATCTATTCTATAAGAATCAATGATTTTGTAGTCAAGAAATCCATAAGTACTTTGTAAAACAAATCAAAATTCTATGAAACAATAAAAAGGGTAACAGGCCAAATGGTATTCAAAGAGAGTGATTGTTTGAAGGTCGAACCTTTCGAGATCTACAAAAGTGAATAAAAGAGTATAAGTAGGATTACATCTGTCATACCCTTGGATAAGCGTAACAAGGTGTGGGTGTAACTCATCATCTCGTAGTGTGTGGATCCTCCTACAGATAACTTTAGCTGATCTGATGGAAATGTTGATTCTTGTGAGCAGTGCCCTAATTGAGGCCCGTGCTGTATCGATCTTATATGGCTCTGCACCATTAGCATCAAGCTCTTTCAAGCGCTTCCATTCTTTGTCATATGTAATCCTCAATTTTTCTTCCTCCTAACATAGTTTAAGAAAATGTTAAAACATGTTCATGAAAAAGAAAGGCTCAAAGTAACACTCTAAAGTTCTTAAGTTCACAAAGAAATTACTGAGTAAGGGCCCTTCTTAACCATTTTCGGCCAATCAACATTCCCAAAGGACAAAATTTCGACTTTCTTGAAAATTATATCCAGTTTTGAGACATTATCAGGCTCATGACCAAATTGAACTTAATACTCCTTCCGTCCTAAAATAAAAAGGTATCCAGGCATCAAGATTTCCCCAAATTATAAGAGATTCTCGGTGAAGTATCCCTCCAACTTAGTTTAAAAAGACAGCATTTACATGCATACCTACCATTATTGTTTATAACCAACCCAAATATGGTAATCACAATCTCTCTCTATCTCTACACTTAAGGGAGGGTTACGTTACAAGCGTTATTTGCCTTATCCCATAATTTGTCCTAGAATTCCTACGATACCTTGTATTTCAAGACGAAGGGACTAGTGAACCATAGTCGTCTTTCCTTTTTTTTAACCAAAGGTACCCGAAATCAAATTGCAAGAGGAACTAATCACCACATTTCATATAAAGGAAATAGCATACCATAATTTCCTTATGAAGTCTTTTCTCCCACACGTACAGCCTGTCCATTGTTGCGGAAAGAGTATTAAGTTCAACATCACTGGGAAGATCGAATCTTTTACTGGAATTCTGATTTCCTTTGGATGAATTTATAGCTGATTGTTCCAAGCTCTTCACCGGTGGCTCAGATATGGAAGAAAACAACAAAGCGAAGGTCCCCATCATCCGTGAGAATACCACTGCATGGTGAGTAAGGATCAAATTATTTAACTGGGTTACAATTGTCTATGGAAGGACAGAGAAGAACTCCAGCCCAGTGATCAGTATAGCAATAAGAAACCAGGTACATTCTATCTCTCAACTGGTCAAATTTCAATATAGCAATTGATTTACTAATGCAAACAAAGTCGGCTTCAGTCTGATGGAACCAGGATTTGCAATGGTTAAATGAAAAACAAAGCATACTTACATCTTAAGATTCTATTCCGTGATCGATACCGCATCCTCCCCACCTCAAGGATCCTTGCGACGTCATCCCCACAGGCAGCCACTGATTTGAACTGCTCCTTTATTTCCTCAACAACCTCAGCGACATCTCTTGTCCCAGTGAACTCTGGCGGCCGTTCATCCTCTCCGACTACTATGGATGAGTGATCCTCTGAGCTCACCTTCCTCACCTTCCCATGATCATCTTCTGCCGGCACCTGCACTGGCCCCTCTGTTCTAGCATTGGCATGGTCACAATCGCAACTGCACACACTCTCGTCCCCTGA